AAAGCAACTTTTTAGTACAAAATTTTCTTTTTCAATTTTTTTTTTGAATTAAACACTGTCATTGCTAGGTCCCAATTCCTCGATGAGAAAAATTGATGATTACATTAGGTAGTCGACAACCAGTATAAAACTTATTGAATAATTATGATATGAATCATTTAATACATTGTGTTAATGCAAGGTTTTCTGTGGAAGCAATGCACTGTATGGTCTGAATACAGCGAGAAATGCTGCATTGGTGCTTGGGGGCAGTGTTAAATAGGCATGAGTTCCCACATCCTATGGATGTGGGAAAAAGGCTAGTCCATGAAACTAGAATTCATATAAGATTCTGGAATGAAGGTTCTCTTATAGGTAAATTAATGAAATTAATTGATATTATGATTCATAGTAAGATAAATATTTTATGCATTCAAAAAATCAAATGAGCTGAAGAGAAGGCTAAGAATATTGATAGTTTAGGATTTAAACTTTGGTCTTTTGGTAGAAGTCGTATTAAAAATGGTGTAGGTATGATTATAGATAAGAGTTTGACAGATTATATTATAAAAAATTAATAGAATTAAAGATAAAATTATTGAATTGAAGATTATTATTGATGCTAAGATTATTAATATTATAAGTGCTTATACTCCTCAAGTAGGTTTGGATGTGTGTTTAAAATTAAAATCTTAGAATGACTTGAAAGAATTAATTCAAGAGATACTTTTTAAAGAAAGAGTTTTTATTGGAAGAGATTAAAATTGACATGTTGAAAGAGAGGTAGAATATTTTAAAAATATTCATGGTGAGTATGGATTTGGAGTTACTAATGAAGGTTGTAACATTATATTATATTTTACTCTAGTAATTAATTTTTAATTGCTAATACCTTATTTAAGAAAAGATATGAACATCTCATCAGTTATATAAGAATGTATATAGTAAAACTCATATTGATTATTTTCTTATAAGCAAAATAGATCATTTAGATTGCAAAGATATTCTGAGTGAAATTTTATGTGCCCAATATCGCTTATTAGTTTTGGACTTTAAGATGAAGAGGAGTAATATGAAAAATATAATAAAATGATGTTCTAAGAATAGAGGCAAGCATTTAAAGAATACTAATAAAAATATTTTTCAGAGTAAGATTTTGCATGTGCATAAGGAAGCGAATGTTATATGGGAAAAGGTTACTAGTAATATTATGAATGTTGTAAAAGTTGTGATTAGAGTTTCAAAAGGAAAAACTCCTAATAATAAAAATAGTTGGTAGTTGAATCAAAATGTGTAAAAAAGATTAAAAATAAGAAGCTTTGTTATAATAATTGATTTATATGTAAAATTTTGAAAAATTGGGAAAGCTATAAGGAGACTCATAAGTTATCTAAGAAAGTAATATACAATGCAAAAAATTTAACATTTAATGATTTATATAATAGATTATATTCTAAAGAGGACAAAATATACATGTATATGTTAGCCAAACATAGAGATAAGAATGTAAGGATTTAGTTCAAGTGAAGCGCATTAAGGAAGAAGATGAAAAAGTACTTTTTTTAGAAGATGATGTTGAACAAAGGTGGAGGATTTATTTTGTTAAGCTTTTTAATGAAGATTGTGATAATATGATTGACTTTAGTGAACTTAGCACTCTAAATAAAAATAGGAATTTTTATTTTTATCGACGTATTTATAAAACTAAAGTTAGAGGGGCTTTAAAAAATGAAGTATGGAAAAACTAGTGGACTTGATGATATTCTAACAGAGATGTTGAAATACTTACGAGATGTTGAAATACTTAGGAGATGATGAAATTTTTTAGCTTACTAAAATTTTTAATATTATTTTGATGTCTAAAAAGATGCCATATGAGTGGAGAATGAGTGTGTTGATTCTTATTTTTAAGAATAAAGGTGATGCACAAGATTATGTGAATTATAGAGGAATTAAGTTGATGTGTCATAGTTTAAAACTTTAGGAGAGATTTATGGAGCATAGGCTACGATGTGATACTAATATTTCTCAAAATAAATTTGGATTCATGACGGGTAGGTCTACTATGAAAGCTATTCATTTATTGAGATGGCTGATGGAGAAGTTTAGAGAGAATAAGGAGGATCTACATATGATATTTATTGATTTAGAGAAAATATATGATAAAGTTTCAAGAGAAGTGCTATGCAGAATTCTAGCAAAGAAAGAGGTTAATAATGCTTATATTCAATTCTTTTGGGATATATATGCATGAGCTATTACTTGTATTCAAACACAAAGTAGTTTGACCAAGTATTTTCCTATTTCAGTTGGATTAAATAAAGGATCAATCTTATGCCCTTATCTTTTAGCTTTAGTCATGAATGTTCTCACTAGACATTTGTATGAGGATGTACCTTGATGCATGCTTTTTGCTAATGATATTCTTCCTATTGATAAGACTAGAGAGGGAGTTGAATGTAAACTCGAATGGAGGTTAACTTTAAAGTTTAAAGGTTTTCGTTTAAGTATATCTAAAACCGAATACATGGATTATAATTTCAGTAGTAATAGGTCTACTAGGGGGTTTGTGACTTTGAGGGACAAATCATTAATAAGTGTGCTCATTTTGGAGATCTTGGGTCTATTGCTGAGAGTGATGGTGAAATAGATGGGATATTATTAGTAGAATTCAAGTTGGATGGTTGAAGTGGAGCAATGCTTCAGATTTGTTTTGTGACAAAAAAATACTACTCAAACTTAAGGAAAAATTTTATAAGTTAAGGAAGAAGATGAAAAAGTACTTTTTTAGAAGATGATATTAAACAAAGGTGGAGGATTTATTTTGTTAAGCTTTTTAATGAAGATTGTGATAATACGATCGACTTTAGTGAACTTAGCACTCTAAATGAAAATAGGAATTTTTATTTTTATCGGCATATTTATAAAACTAAAGTTAGAGGGACTTTAAAAAATGAAGTATGGAAAAACTAGTGGACTTGATGATATTCTAATAGAGATGTTGAAATACTTAGGAGATGATGGAATTTTTTAGCTTACTAAAATTTTTAATATTATTTTGATGACTAAAAAGATGCCATATGAGTGGAGAATGAGTGTGTTGATTCCTATTTTTAAGAATAAAGGTGATGCACAAGATTATGCGAATTATAGAGGAATTAAGTTGATGTGTCATAGTTTAAAACTTTAGGAGAGATTTATGGAGCATAGGCTATGACGTGATACTAATATTTCTCAAAATAAATTTGGATTCATGAAGGGCTGGTCTACTATGAAAGCTATTCATTTATTGAGATGCCTGATGGAGAAGTTTAGAGAGAATAAGGAGGATCTACATATGATATTTACTGATTTAGAGAAAATATATGATAAAGTTTCAAGAGAAGTGCTATGCAGAGTTCTAGAAAAGAAAGAGGTTAATAATGCTTATATTCAATTCTTGTGGGATATATATGCATGAGCTATTACTTGTATTCAGACACAAAGTGGTTTGACCAAGTATTTTCCTATTTCAGTTGGATTACATAAAGGATCAATCTTATGCCCTTTATCTTTTTAGCTTTAGTCATGAATGTTCTCACTAGACATTTATAAGAGGATGTACCTTGATGCATGCTTTTTGCTTATGATATTCTTCCTATTGATAAGAATAGAGAGGGAGTTGAAGGTAAACTCGAATGGAGGTTAACTTTAAAGTTTAAAGGTTTTCGTTTAAGTAGATCTAAAATCGAATACATGGAGTGTAGTTTTAGTAGTAATAGGTCTACTAGGGGTTTTGTGACTTTGAGCGATCAAATCATTAATAAGTGTGTTCATTTTGGATATCTTGGGTCTATTGTTGAGAGTGATGGCGAAATAGATGGGATATTATTAGTAGAATTTAAGTTGGATGGTTGAAGTGGAGGAATGCTTCAGGTTTGTTTTGTGACAAAAAATACTACTCAAACTTAAGGGAAAATTTTATAAGATGGTGGTGCGACCTATAATTCTTTATGGTGCTTAATGTTGGACATTAAAAGAGAAGCATAATATTAAGTTAAGTGTTGCAGAGATGAGGATGTTTAGGTGGATGAGTGGATTTACTCTTAGAGAAAGGATAAAAAAACGAGCATATCCTTGAAAAAGGTTGCAGTAGTTCTAGTGATAGATAAGATTAGAAAGAGTCGCCTTAGATGATTTGATCATTCATATGCAACACACTTTCAAATTAAAGCAGTTTGTTCAACTTTGAGAGGGTTTAGATAACTTTGTTTTTAGTGAAATGGTATCTTTATCAAATGAAGTCTAAATTTATATATGACAAATTAATGCTAGCTTGGCTTATACTATTAGATGATAACATACTTCTGATATATGATTAGTTAGAATGCTATAAAAATTTATTTGGTCACAAGAAATTAATTTTATTTGTACATAATTTATAATTTAACTGATGCCAACTTGATAATTACTAATTAATTAAAAATACTAAAGAAATAGAAGTGGAGAAGATTTTGGCATTAAACTCTTTATATGAGTATGGTAATGGAAATATCTTAAAAATATTTTCCTAGATGATATCATTGAGTTGGTATGAGTATTTTTTTCTTCGTTACTTTGTTGGTAAACCAACAATACTACATGATTTTATAGCATTTTCAAAGGAGCACAAATTATTGTGATGGCAAGCTAGAGGGAAGAACTACAAGAATGGCCTTCCCTTAAAGGAGAAGTTATTCTGTGCAGAGGCCGGACGTAGCTCTACGTTCAGAGATGAATCAGATGTAGCCACATCAACGGTATCAGGTCGCGGTACCGAGCAGTACCAAGCCGCGATTCACAGAGAAGGGGTGACTTGACACATTGTGATTGGTCTCTGGACGACGTTCGTCTGGACAGAACAATTAATCCCTTTTTACCTTCCAGGGCATGTAAAAGAAAGGCTAAATTTTTGAAAAATTAAAAAAGACATGTGAAATCATACAAGAGACTAAATCGTTACAAATAGGGACCATCATAATGAATTGAGCACTAATATTTAGAGAGAAATCCAAGAGTTTGCAAATATTACAAATTGTAATGCAAATAAAAGATATTAACTTCTCAAAATAGACATTGAATTACATGCCAAAAGCTCAAATAGTGGCCCTCGCCCTATTGGGTTTGCATAAACCCTTCATAGTTTTGTTTGGAGGGAATTCATTCATAAACCATTCGGACCTCTCCACATTTAAAATCCAAATTCTGCCATCATTTCATAATCTTTTCATCTCCGTCTCAAGTCAATGCCTTGATGCCATATCCTGCTTTGTCCATGCAAAACCTGGCTGGAGAAGGTAATTGAGAGCATGCGGTCCCAACATGAACACAAACCAGAAACAGTGATATGCAAGCTGCATCAGTAGGAGAATGAATACTCACAAACAGAAGCAAAAGTATGAAGGAAGTAACCTCTTTTGACATACAATGGTGGGATATTCTTATCAAGTAAACAATTTAACTTAGTCCACCTATTAATTTATTTTATTGGAGATTTCTGGGAGGTATCTTTTATTAGCTTTTATTTTAGCTTATTTGCCAACAAATACCTTTGTTCATATATAGTTTTTAAAGGACATCAATCAAATTTCATTTATTTTTATAATAGTTTACTCATTCATCAAAGAAGTATAAAACTATAAATGAATAAATGATATATAACATTGCTTTAAAATTTTTGCTACCATAAAAAATTCAAGTTATTTAAATTTCATTTGAAAGGCCACACATAAAAAATCACAATTTCTTATCATACAATTGTGTCTTCTCTTAAGAAAATTATTACGCATCCTTTTGACATCAAAATCTATGTCAAAGGAGAACAATCATTCTATTATTTGAAAATTTCCCTCAAATTTAATAGCTAGTTTTTATGTTCACTTAGTCTTATTCTCGTTCTTGTAAGATATTGGAAAAATCCTTACTTTCTAGCTTTGATACAAGAAAATGAGTGATGCTATTTGTAAACAAGGATAGAGATTCATACCGGAAGAAGCATTGAAGGAGCTGAAGGAGACTGTGGAGCTACATGACTTCTAGTCTTCCTTCCATTAGCTGCAATGACCGATGGACTATTAGCGGCACTAATATCCCAGAAGCTCCTCTTCTTAGCAATTGGCTGAGGAGAGGTGAACCGATGGCTTGGGCTCTTTAAATCCTCTTTAAGCAGGCTTGCTCTCTTTCCCACCCTGCTCTTGCATTTACCTTCTCCTTGTTTTGCAATCAATCCGCGAATAAAATCATCCTTCTGCTTGAGCTGAACAACATGTTCCTTTTTAAGCCTTTCAATCTCAGTTTCCAACTCAATTACTCTCTTTTGCAAATCTTGGGTTATTCTTTCATTAGCTGTTCTTGTTTTCATGGAATCTGGTGTGCTGAAGCAGTTGCCAGCACCGAGAATAGACCGTTTGTGCTTGCGATTTGTTGAGTGTGGTGTGGAGCTGAGAGGAGAGGAGGTAGGTGGTGGTTGCTGGGGTGAGTTTGATACTAATGCATGAGCTTGGGAAATAAAGAGCTTCTCCTGGAGGCGCACAGCTTGTTGCCTTAGCTCACTATTTTGCTTCTGTAACTCAAGCAGGAGTTTGGTTTGTTCAGTTTCAAACTCCGGGAGCTGCACTGCTTCCTCATCTACTGAACTTGCCTAAGATGTACATAGAAATGTAAAGATAAATGCAAATACAAAAACTAGAAATATGCATATTATACGAAAGAAAAATTTGAGAAACTCGAGTGAGAAAATTAGCAAACCTTATTTCTTATCTCCTTCGCACGATCAGCCCAATGAAGGGTATTTTGCGTCTCATTGAAAGAGAGGTTACTGGGGCTGATATTAGCAATCATGACTGTATTGCATGGTCCACCCAATGAGTCCTTAAGAAGCTGTGTGAGCTTTGAATTTCGGTATGGAATATGCTTCTTTCCCTCCACAAGTGCATTGATGCAGCTGCTCAATGCAAGGAGGGATCTATTGATATTTGCCCCCTCAATTGATCTTTGAGTTCTTAGATCTGTTGCAAGAGCTCTCTCTGAACCAGCTAGATCAATAAGAGACAACTTGCCTACCCTTGTGATCACATTAACCGAGTCTTTGACTTGATATTCTGCAACAACCTGTGTTCAACTTGGAAGTTAGTCATTTGTAAGAGGGCCAAGTATCAATCAAAGCTCTTTTAGAAAAGGATGGTGATAGTACTTGAAGTATAGCATGTGATCTAGAGGAGGTCTCATTTACTCTTGTGGGCTCAGTTGTCCGGTTTCGATTTCCTTGCAGAAGCAATTGCATAACCTGAAAAAGAAATGATATTTGAGCATAAGAAGTTTTCTTTTACTCTATTTTATATAATTATGGGATTTTGATGGATAGATTAGTCATGAGGGTTGAATTACTTCATCGGTTGAATAAGCTCTGTACTGAGTGAGTCCAGCTGCTGTGATTCCCTGAAAAATATGAACATGATATTGTTTTTAAGGGTAAGAGAATTAGCATATAGATATTTTTAGTTTTTCTCACATTATTGATTCAAACTATCATTTGATGCAGATGAATCTAGATATGATGAGCTTCACAATATATTATATCAAAGGCAGAAGGATGGCAACGATAATAAAAGAATTTGCATGAGTGATTTGAACGGTTTTGTAATCAAACAAATAGAACATTGTCATTATTCAACAACAACAACAACAACAACAACATCAAGCCTTTAATGATTTGAACGGTTTTGTAATCAAACAAATAGAACATTGTCATTATTCAATATGAAAAATTCCAAAAGAACAAATCACAACAGTTTTCCATTTGATGGAAGAAGTAATTATAGTTTTATATTTGATTGGGTTTCGTATAGGCACAGGCAATTGAGTTTTTGAAATTCTAAAGGAACTAAATTCTTTGTGTGACAGGAGCTTAGTGAAAGCTTTAGGGGGTTTAAATGTTCAGAAGATCATTGAGACCAATTATACTTTGAAAAGCTCATATTAGGCTAAATTAGTGAACTTGGACCCAAGATCAGCCTAATGCAAGTCACTATGGTTTTCCATATGATGGCAAAAGTAATTAAAGTTCTATATTTGATTGGGTTTCTTATAGGAGCAGGAAATTGTGTTTTCGAAATTCTAAATCAATAAAATTCTATGCGTGATGAACTTAGTGAAGGCTTAAAGGGGTTTAAATGGTCAAAAGATCATTGAGACCAACTATACTTACAAAAGCTCGTATTAGACTAAATTAGTGAACTTGGACTCAAGATTAACATAATGCAATCTATCTAAGTAGTTGACTCCTTGAAAGCATCATTAAATCTATCAAAGCAGTTGACTCCTTGAAAGCATCATTAAAGAGAATGCTCAAATTGAGGTTCTATACCCAATTGTTCTAACTATGGAAAAGAGCATTGAGATGTTGTCATCAAAACATTTTAAAAAGTTTTATTTGCAAATAACCTATGCAAATGACAAGGAATTGCCCTCTCCTTCGACAAGAGTAAGAAAATATTTTAAATATTACTCCGCTAATAGCGAGCACCCACCGTGAGCTAGCCTATAATACAATCTAATCAAGTAATCATAAACAACCAAATATATCACGAAAACACCACCACATTGAAGAGTTAGGTACAAATATATTCTCTAACTCAAGAAGAGCCTTGAGAATCTCCTAACTTGACCTTAGGTACTTATACATTTTATGATGAATCAGTCATAGTTTAATTTGATACTAAAGCTTCTTGTTGATTCATATATAATAATGCTATGCAAGGAATATCATTACAACCTATAGAATTAAGAAAGTAATCATAAACAACCCAATACATCACAAAACCAACATCACAATGGGGATTGATCTATCCAGCTACAAATATATTCTCTAACTCAAGAAGAGTGCTGAGAATCTCCTAATGTGCTCTTAGGTACGTATACATTTTATGATGAATCAGTCATAGTTTAATTTGATTCTAAAGCTTCTTGTTCATTCATATCTGATAATACTATGCAAAGAATATCATTACAACTTATAGAATTAAGAAAAATAATTTTAGAACTTTTTAAAGGAACACATGAATGCTTCATTCTTCATAGAGGTAGACATTGTGATTCAAGATGCAAGCTTTTCAACTAATCTTCATATTTTACCATGCACAAAATTTTATATGATATTGGGAATGGACTAGTTAACAAAATATCATATTATATTGTTTGGTGAGAAAAGAAGTTGGTGAATAAAATAAAAGAGCTATTAGATTTCAATTTTTCCAATCTCGAAAGCAAAAGCAAAGACAAACACTGTATGACTTGAATATTTGGCATTTATATGAAACACAAGTTGATACTATTTAAATTAGAAGGAATTTTAGTTGTCAATGAATCTTTAGATGTCATTCAAGAATAACTTCTTGGTTTACCACTTGAAAGAGAAATAAAATTCACTATATGTCTATATCCAAATGCACATCTATTCTAAAAGAAATGTATAGAATGGCAATTACATAATTACACGAATAAAAAATCAATTACAAGAATTAATAGACAAAAGATTCATTCGTCATAGTATTTCATCATAGGGTGGGTGCTCTAGTCTATTTGTAAAGAAAAAGGATGATAATATTAGAATGTCCATATATTATAAAAGAAATAACAAGAAGATAATTATGAATAAGTATCCATTATTAAGAATACATGATTTGCTTGATCAACTCTAAGGAGAAAGCTCTTTTTTTTTTTTTTTTTCAAAAATTGATCTTTAGTTTAGATATCACCAATGAAGGGTAAAAATGAAGATATTCAAAAAATAGCTTTTCGAACTTGATATAATCACTAAGAGATTTTATTAATGCCATTTGAATTAAAAAATTCCCTGATTGCATTCATGGATTGATGAATATAATTCAGCATATGTATTTAGTTTAATTTACCATTTTTTTATAGATGACATATCAATCTATTCAAAGAATAAAAAAGAACATCAGAAAAATTTACATTTAGTGCTTTAGTAACTAAAACACTAAAAAAAAAAAAAAAGTAACTAAAACACTAAAAATTTATGTCAAATTTTTAAAATGTGAATATTGATTATCAAATGTAGCATTCCTTGGTCATATTATGAGTGAAGAACAGATACTTATTGATGAGTAAAGAAGAGATACTTTTTGATCCACAAAAAATATTAGCAATAAGTGAATGCTCATGACCAAACAGTGTAGCTGAGTTTGAAGTTTTCTGTGATTAACATGATATTACGAATTTATAAGAGATTTCTCAAAATTGGTTCACCTTTAACTTGAGTTGCTCAAAAGGCAGCCAATTATGAACGGACAGTTGATTGTGATAATAGTTTCCAAAAGTTGAAGATATTTTTTATAATAAAACAATTTTGATAATTCCATAAGTAATAGAAGATTAACAAGGCAATGGTGATGCTTTGCTAAGGATTAGATGTGTATTACTATCAAAAGCAAAATTTTTAGCATGTGTTTCTAGAAAATTAAAATCACATGAAAAAAATCTTCCAATAAATGATTTGGAATTAGAAATGGTAGTATTTGCTCTAAAAATTAGGAGATGTTATATATATAGAAATAAGTAAGAGATATTCATAGATCATTAGAGTTTAAAGTATATTTGTACTAAGGAAAAATTAAATTTGAAGTGTAGATTCCAGTTAAAAATATAGGATTATGATTTAGAGATCATGTATCACCTAGGCAAAGCAAATATTAAGGTTAAAGCCCTTGACAAAAAAATTAATCTAATGATTAAAGTACCTCATATTATTTTTGAAAAAAAAGAAGGCTTCAACTATATATAACTAGTAAGAAGAAGAATACAATTTTGATTCAATTCATAATATTAAAAAATTGATTAATATAAATTTTATCAATACAAAAAGGTCTCTTAAAATTAAACATTATATTCAAAATATTCAAGATGGTTGAAATTGTAAAACCCGAAAAATGTCAGTTTTAGACATCACACGCTTTTCGATGCGTCGCGACGAGATTTAAGTGAATTTTTTAAAGTTGTCAGAATTTGAAGAAAATAATTTTATAAAATTCTAAGAAATTTAATATATAAAACTTATATCTAATTTTGCTCATTTTAGAATTAAAATTCATAGAAGTCTCTTAATACCTATAATACCCTTAGTGATTATTAAAGCTTGGATATTTTAAGTGAGGGCAATTGAGTAATTGGAATTTTCCCTCTAAGCCTTAAGGGGACCGATTCTATTCGGTCCCCTCATAATTCTTCCGCTCATTTGTTCGACCGAGAGATGAAGGCGGGGAAGGGAGAGGCGACGGGCGGCTCCGGCGACATTTTCTGGCCAGAAAATTTGTGGACATCGAAGAGGAAGTCAAGAGAAGTCTAAGGTATGTTTCTAAACTTATAAATCTTCATTTTCCCCTTAGAATTTTTAAGGAGAAAATTTTAGGGTTTGTGAAGAAACTTAGAAATTCTTAAAGGAACTTAAGAGGAATGTTGGGGAAGGTTTAGGAGATACTTTTATGCATGAAAATGTGATTTTTCTTTAAAAGTATTGAGTTGGAAAAATTAGGATTTTTCTCTAAAGTTGAAAATTTTGAAAGTGCTTTTACAAATATTGTTCCTAAGAGGGTTTTTAAGGGAATAAATTGAGTTTTTCTCACAAAATGATGTTTTCCTAATTTTTAATTAATTTAAATCTGAAAATAGAAATTAGTTTAAATAATTTTATGTTAGGGTGAAGGGTTAATTTGGTTAAAAATATAATTAGAACAAAATATGAGATTTTAGAATTGTTATATGCTTTATGTTTTAAATGAGAGAGAGAGAGAGAAAGATAACCTTTAGAAGTTTTATAGGAATAGATTCATTAAATTTGAGAAGATTAGCTTTAGCCGTTGAATATTAAAATATTTTCTTATAGGTGTTTTTTGTGGTGATCTCAAAGGAAGAAGGACTAGCATAGAGAATCAATTTCCTAATTTCTTGTAAGTATACATGGTTCTTTATTTACAATAATGACTTTTATTTCTTTCAAGTTATATGATGTAAAAGACCAAATATGTTTATAAAATCTTTACTCTTGTCCAATGGTTGATCATGCAATTTATATGTTACATCTTATGACATTATTATACAAAGTTCATACGTTATAGAAATGAGATAAACTGAGATAATATGATTAAGATATGATTGTTATATTAAGTGATTGCATGTGCATGCTGAATTGATGGAGCTCACCCCCTTATGATACTAATGGGGACGCTGTACTCGTGCACGTTAAAATGGTAAAGGATATGAAAAATAAAATGATAAAGGAGTACCTTTATGGTATTAGACAGTGGCTCTTGTGACAGTTGTAATATATATATGAAATGAGAAAGTTACGAATGTTGATATGAATATGAAATTTATGGTTTTATGATATATGATATGTTTAATGACATGTTTGTAAGAAATCAAATTATATTATATTTTAAATGAAATGTGGCATCTAGCATATTAATCATTTTGCCTTGATTACTGTAGTTTAGAATCGTGTTTTACTTACTAAGTATTGGTTTACTATTAGTTGTTAAATTTTTTTTTTCAGGTTTAATTCTTTTAAACCAAAATGAGTAAAAGGGGTGGAAATGTATACCGTAGGAGAGGAGTGCATAAAGAAAGGTAATTATATAAATCTTTATAATTTTATGTTTTTTTGTTTTCGAATTATATGTTTTTAGTGGCTCTTTCAAATATTATGGAGATAGATTTAGAGATTTGATAGTTTAGTTTACTGTCCGACCTCCGTTCCCGCCTCGCCTATGCGAGCTCACCGGGTCGGGTCGTAACAGAAATTCTAATTTTCATTTAGAAAAACAGGGAATTGAAAAATTTACAGGACGGTTACATGTCCCAAACAATGAAGAAATTTGATAGAAATTATTGCAAGAAGCACATGGTTTCAAATAGATTATTCATTGGGGTAATGCAAAGTTATAACAAGAACTAAAACAATTCTTTTGATGATTTGCTGTATGATTTATCAAAGTGTAGAATATCTCTCAAAATATATGATTTATCAAAGTGTAAAAGCTTAACATTAGAGACTTGATGAATATTTATAACAATTACATATTTCTTAGTAAAAGTGCAAATAAATATGAATGTACTTCATAATAGCATACCAAGATCCCAACAAGGACACAAGATTATGAGGGGGGTATGGGTTGTTTGACTAAGTCAGTTCATTTTCTATCAATCAAAATTAAGAATATAGTTGAAAAATTAAATGATATATATAGATCAAATTGTTTGATTACATAGAATTCTTAGGATAGTTATATCAAATATGGATTTGAAGTTTGCATCAAATATCTAGAGAGGTGCAACAAGCATTAGGAATTTGAATATATTTTAGTACAATATTTCATCCACAAATAAATGGGCAATTGGAATGTACTAACAAAATAATGGAGGATTTATTGAGAATGTGCATATTTGACTTTGGTGGGAGTTATTTATCTCTAATATATGTTGCATATAATCATAGTCATCAAGCAAAAATTAAGATGACTCTATATGAAGTTTTAAATGGAAGGAAATATAAATCACCATTGTGTTAGTTTGAAGTTGGAGAAAGAGCTATGTTTAGCCCATAATTGGCGGATTAGGTAGCTCAAAAAGTCCAATTAATATGTGACTACATCTATGCTACTAATATTCATTAGAAAAAAAAAATATTATGACCAAATACATAGAATTGTAAAATTTCAAGTTTGAGACCATGGATTTTTAAAGATTTGTCCGAGAAAAGGGATGACTATATTTGAAGGATCTAAAAAATTGAATGCGGAAGCCTAGGTAAATTAGTTTATTGAGGTTTTAGAAAACATTGGCTCTATAGCATATATATTAGCACATTAGTACTACCTTTATGATTCACAAATGTTCTTAATGTATTTCATATATCAATTCTTAGAAGATACATTAATGATTCATCACACATCATTTAGAATGAATTAAAAAAGTATTGAAGTTCAAACAAACCTCAGTTATGAAGAAATATGAGAAAGCATACTAGAAAGTAAAACTGAAAAGTTTCATAATAAGGAGAAATATTATTTTAAAGTTATAATGAAAAATTATTCTGAATGAAAGGCCACTAGAGTATGTGCATGTGACAGAGAGGGTACTAATGAGAAAAATTGAGAGAAAAAAATATTTTGGGTGTGCTAACATTTGTAGCATGTAATTCCTTTTTGGAATGGTAAAATATTAATATTTCTATGCGAGGGTAGGGGTAGGTGAATTTAACAAAACCATATAATTTTCTCGTGTCTCATTTTCTAGTGACTTCAATGCATGCTTTAATTATCCACAATCAATCATGATATTATTATTAGGATGTAAACTTTTGCTAATCAAAAGTTGATCCTTGGGCTCATTTAGTGGCATGTAGATAAAAATATATTTTAGGAAATGATAAATTTCATATATTTCATGTCAGGATGAAGGAGTGAGGGGACTTTTGTAGATTGAAATCAATGTTGATTTTTGAATATGTCTAACCAAATGATTCTCCAAAAAGATTTGTTGTTTTCATATTTCTAACTTCAACAACCAAAGTACCTTCCATAAAAGAAAGCGATATGAAAATTTTTTGTGATATTTAGTCTATATACTAAAACAAGTACCACAAATAGTTGTTCGTATTTCAAGAAGGTACACCAAATAAAAAGAAAATGCAACACTTACCAATGATTAAGAGCTATATTCTTAAGTGAATCATTATACCTTAATACAAAATATGCTTTTCAAAATAACGAGAAACTATTGTTGAAATTTCAATTTATAATTCAGAACAATTGAAAAGAAATACGAGGTCATTACAATGGGAGCAAAGGCAAGGCTATCTACATAAAAATGGATTTGTCTTATCATGCAGAAAAGGATGGCTTCAAAGCATGCAACCAAGCTCTTTGAGGCGATCCTTTATGTATCTCTTTCATCATCAAAGATGAAAGTATAACTTGCTTTATCATTATACAAAAATGGACTTTACCAAGAAAAAAGCACTCATAAAATTATAAAAAAACTAATGCACTACTGAAGAAACTAGACTAAAAACAAAAAGAAAAAAATTCATTGCCTAAATTGATTTACGGTAAAATAGAAATAGATAAACATTAAGCATTGAAGATGATCACAACTCTAAGCTAGCAGTAAGGAAGTGGGAAGAAAGGAATTAAACAGTGAAAGAACACATATCTATTCTGTATCACTCATTTGAATATTTTACTAACCTGTTTATCTTCTCGGAGAACAAGGGGTCGCCCAGGTGACAGAAGGTCTCTAACAGTCTCATTATAGACCTCAAGATAGGAGAGGAGCACTGAGTGTTTTCCATCAAAGCTTCTCTGTCTAATTTTTGAGAAGAGGTCCTTTATGGCCAACACCATGACACCGGGATTCTCTATTGTACCAAGCATTGTGTATGTCTTCCCCGCACCAGTTGCCCCATAGCAAAATACTGAGCCATTCCTTCCTCGAAGAACACCTTCCACAATCTCTGCGGTTCTGCATACAAGCACCGCAGAATTTTACATCAATATATTTTTTCATTTATATGTTAGTCAAAATTGGTCCTCTGTTTGATTCACACACTAACATTATACATGAGAAGATGAAAGAAAATCATATGTTAGCAGGTTGTTTAAGTTGGATTCAAGGACCGCCAGGGATACAACAGAGGATTAACTGAAGGATACCGGTGATTTATACAATACCAAACGCACAACTTTGTATAGAGAAAGGAAAAGATCCATATACATCAACTTAAAAACATCTTTAAAATGCCTTAATGTTAACTGTCATTAAAAAACTGATGTTTGCGGATAAGCTTGCTATATAACATAAGAAATTAAAAATTACATGTAAAAAATGTTTTTAACTTGTGGGTACTAATCAGAAAAGGTAGAAGAATTCAGAAAGCTGAAAATAGTTGTTAAGGATAAACATTTCATTCTACTAATAAGATCGCCATCATAGGATCAAATCTACTTGAAAGAAATTAAGTTCAAGTCGAAAAGCAAAATAAAGCAAATTAGAGTAAGACTTGAAAGAAAGGCAGGAGTTTCATCAAATCCAATGAATAACGATTAAAAGTGTGCGTCTCTCCATAAGAACCCCATAACAGCAACCAACCAGTTTTTCTCATGATTACTCAGTTGCATGAAAAATGATACGGATACCGACAAATGAAGTTAAAACAAAATTTTATTAAAAAAAGGGAGATATTGCAACCAAACAGAAAGAGCTTACGTGGTTGAGTAGACTTCTTGTTGCGAAGTAGACTCCGGGAATGAGGCATCAAAGCAGAAATGGCGGCCTCGAACTCTTTTGAGCCTAAGGTAGTCGGTCTCCGAAGCAAACTCAGTTAGATACACATCTCTTTTATTGACAATCCTAACACAGGTCCTTGATCCGGTCTCGTCCTCTTTTTTCCCCATTGGCCTTAGCCGGACAAACACCATTATCTGACTCCCCATATCTCCGGTGGTCTCTAACTCTTCTCTGATCTTCTTGATTCCCATCAAGCCTCTACCATCCAACACCGAACCCGTCGAAGTCCTTCTCGACGCAGCTCTGGTGGCTGTTGCCACCTTCCTTGGCATGGAGTAGCCTGCAAACCTGTCGAGGATCTTCGGCTCTTTGTTCTCCTTAGCTTCAATTTTTGAGAACAAAATGGTCTTTTTCCTCGGAATTACGGTTGTTGCATCTCTGTTTTTCCTTTCCTCTTCTTGTTCTTTCTTTTGGTCTTCTCCGGATTTCTTGCGATTTGAATCGAGGAGCTCGATGCTTGGGTGATGGCTTGGAGCTAATGGCTGCCTGTGCTGCTCGTATAGAAGGGTAAGGGCTTTCATTTTCTCCTTGAGGCCTTGGTGGGGATTTCGAAGAAAAGAATTGCGGCGACCGGGCGATTGACATTGTTGGCCGGGCCTCACGCCGGAGAGTTGCGATCGAGTAGAAACTGGCATTTTGGCGACAAACCACTGAAAGGTATGTTAAAGCAATGGCGGGTAATGGGAACGATCCCGCATTGATATGCTAAATCTTTAACGACCTAGGTCCGATCTCTTACTGGAAGAATGGTTTCTATGAGATTGAGAATGGAAGTAGACAAAACGAAGAAGGATCAGAAATCAATTTCTAAGTACAGATCCGGGTTTTATTACTCGGGTAAAAAAAGGGATTTTTTTTTCTTTTTGCGTCCAAGCGAGTTTCTTGAAACGACTTAGGTTTGCTTGCGGGTACTAGCAGGAAAAGCTCACAGAGAGTTCTGAGCAGAGAAAAATGGAAAGAGAAGGATCGTTAAAGAGGATCTGAGCCGTCTATCCGAAAGAGAAACGGACCGTTGGACTGGTCTAGGATTTTGAATTTGGCGAGAACGGTCGGAAAGAGATATGAGATCTCGAAACGGTCAGGTTCTTAAAAATACTGAGATCTATTTATTAAAAAGAAAATCAGATAGATCTTCTCGAATATTTTGTAGTGGCTATGGCTCATAAGTGCTAAATAAGATCATCCGACCTCTCATACTCACAATATCAAATAATTTTTTTAAGAGTACGACCTGACATTAAAATTATTTCAACTATTTTAAGGCTTGAGCAATTCAATTGTCAGTTTTAGTGAGTTGATTTTGATTTCTTACAATTTCAATTTCTTGATTGATTGGATTTATTTGAGGATAGATCACGATCTGGCAAAATTAATCACCTGATTAAATTCATTTTTAACAACCATAATTTGCAATTAAGGAGTTCTTCTTTCGAGAATAGCGCTCTTCGAGCTCATGAAAGTTTAAATGTGCACTAACTCCTAAATGGTCAAATTTATACTAAAAATTTTATCAATCAATGCTAATAAATAAAAAATATCTAATTCTTCAAATTTTTGCACATCTCAAATTTGTGGGAAACGTTTTTGTTAACTTTACATTTAGTATTGCTGGAATTTTTTCTGAATGATTTGAATTAATGCTTCTTTTATTCCTTGGATGTAGATCCTTACATCCTATTTGTAACCTAGTGCATGTAGAGAATTTACTTCATTTTAATTTCTTATTTTATTATACATTGCATAGAGTGAGATGTACTTTTCCAAAATATCCAAAATTTATTAGAAGCAATAAAATTTTGAAAAACTCTTTTCATATAAGAGACATTCAAACTAAACTATTAAATTACAACAATAACCACAAATACATCATGCTTTTATCTCACTATGTTGGATCAACTACATGAACCTTTTATTTTCATTATATTTTTTTTAAGAGTCAAATTCTCATTTAAATATAACAAAAAAGTTATTTCTAATATTTTCTAATCATGATTTTATAGGTCTACCTCTATCTTTTTAAAATAGGCCAAATCCAAAATATCTACTCTCCTAATTGGTTCATCGGAAGGCTGACATTGTATGTGTCCAAACCATGTAAGAGTACTATCTCTAATCTTATATTCCATTGGAGCTACCCCAACCTTTTCATATGTACACATTTAACATTCTACCTCTAAGAGTGAAGCCACTCATCCACCTTAGCATCCTCATCTCGACAACACTTCACTTAATTTTATACTTCTCTTTTAATGTCCAAGATTCTACGCCCTAAATTATTTCAGGTCTCACCACTATCTTATAGAAAATTTTCATCATTATCAACTAGGCATGTTTTTTCCTCTGTTAGGGTTCGGTCTCTGGAGCTTTGCCGGGGTTCTCCCCGCCCCGCTGGGGCATCGCCCCTCCTAGTGCAGGTGTCCTTGGTGATTTTCGTGGAAGTTCTCTTGGCCTTGTCTTGTGTTTTTTCGGGCTTGGAGTTTTCTCGTTTTATTTTTGGTATCCTTCTCCCGCATTCGCCGGAATGGTGCCGACTCATCTGAGTGACCCTGATTTTTTAGGGGGCTCATCTCACCCGCACTCCTTTTTGGAAGAGCTTGCTGATTCGAACTCTGTCTCGTCTTTTTTGTAGCTGCGGACCACTACGTTTCGTGGTTTACCTTCCCTGTGGATTTCTGACCAGGAAATCAATGAACTGGCCATCCCTTTTCAATTTTTTTTGTTGGTTTTTTCCTACTAAGAGACCCTCTCTTGACTCAATCCACAATATCTTCTTTAACCTAAAATTAAATGGTGAATTTTTCGTCACTTTGCTTGATCTTTCGCACATTTTGATTAAGCTTGCAAATGATTTGGACTGCTTTAGGGTTTTTTGTCACCGTTCCTACCTTATTTTCAACTGCTACATGAAGCTCACAAAATTGTAGCCTAGCTTGGATGTTGGTTTGAGTCGCCTGTTATTATAGTTTGGGTTTCTTTTCCGCATTTGCGTTCACATCTCTATAACCCTCATATTCTTCATACTTTGGGAACAATTTTTGGTAAAAGCCTTGAAAATTGATGCGACTACCTCTGTGGGTTCCCGGCCTTCCTTGGATCAAGTTCTTGTGGAGCTTGATATTACTAAATTCTATCCAAACTAGGTTTGGTTAGGTTCTGAAAGTTTAGTGTATGTGCAGGATGTTGCCTTTGATGATCCCCACCCCCCTTTTTGTGTCTCATGCAAATGCATTGGACATTTAGTTGGGAATTGCCGTCCTCCCCCTTTGACTAAATTGTCTACTGTTGTTGTTATCCCTGGTTCTATCATTGCTGGGCAGGTTTCCGAAAAAGTTGTGGATGATTTAGGGGCTTCTGCTCTTATGATTTTCAGTCCTAAGGGTCCTGATTTGTCTAATGTTACGTTACCGATTGTAAATCCTACTTTGATTAATTCTCCTCCCCCTCCCCTATTGTACATTTACTTTCTATGGAGAATTGTTTGAATGAGGCGATTGTTGTTGAATGTGGCCCTATAGAAAATTTTGTGGGGAATGTGGAGGTTTCAGCGGGTGTTTTACCTGTGATTAATGCTCCTTTAACTCAGGCAAATTCTATTGTGGCTAGGGTCCTGCCCATTGCCCACGTCTCTCAGTTTTATTTTAGTGAAGGTGGTGCTTTGTATTGTGATGTTAATTTTATACCTGATGTGTCTGGTATGGGTACTCTGTCTATCCCATATGGTTTGACTCCTAATTTAGCCCTAGTGGAATCAGTGGTAGGGGTTGCCTCTATAGCCCAGGCCCCTAGGCTATATGTTAATGATGTTGATGCTTTGAATTGTGAGGTTAATTTGAATCCTATTTTATATTGTGTGAATTTTTTGTCTGCCCTGTACTGTTTGGCTATGGCTGAGATGACTGCTGAGATTGTTGAGATGTCTGGTTCTTCTTATTCTCATATACAGAAGTCTCTTGGTGGTGCTTTCCCTTCCCCTATGGGTCCTGTGATTCAGGATGCTAGTTCCTCTTCGGTTAAGTTAGTGTTGGAGAAGCAGGTAGTGGGCAATGCTAATTTTTTTAATATCCCTGTTTTGGTTATATCTAATAGTGAATTGAAAAAGCATGTGGCTATCTCTGCAAAAAATTATGTTTTGATTTATAATGATTAGTTGATTTTAGAGGATGAAATTTCTTCCCCTTCCACTAAGGATGAAACTGATTATTATGATGTCAAGCAGGATTATACTATTATACGTGGTGTTTCCAGTGCGCATGGTAATAAGAATAAAATGAAAGGCAAAAATAAATAGGGTTGGTGATTTGGCTCGTGCGTTTTCACCAATGGTTTTTAAAGTTTTAGTAGACGATGATGAGGAGGCCCTTGCTTCCCCTATGTGGCTGAGCTGGCTGGCAACTGGGGTACCGTGACATTAGTTTTGGATTAAGATTATATACTATCACCTACGGATGGTCCGTTCTTGGCTTCTTGGCTGGTGTTAGGGACCTCAATTCCCGAGTAGCCTTTCGTTACCTTTTTTATTATATTTTTTTCTTTGTTTGGATGTTTTGGGTCTTTACTTTTTGTATCCCGGGCTGAAGATCCTATGTCTTTGTACCACTCCCTTTTTTATTTAATAAATATTCTATAAAAAAAATCTTATAGAAATTTTTCATAAGTTTGAAGGGTACTTTTCTATCAACAACATGCCTGATGCATTCCTCCACTTAAACCATCCAACTTCAATTCCATTACTAATATTACCATTTATTTTACCATCAATGTGAATAATAGACCCAATATATCTAAAACATGTACTCTTATTAATTACTTAATTTCTAAAGTCACAATTCCCCCATTATATCTATCAAAATCCAAATTATGCTATATGTATTTAGTTTAAGATATACTCAAATGAAAAACTTTAGACTCTAAGGTTGCCCTCCATAATTCAAGTTAACTCCTTCTTGTGTCTTATCAACAAGAAGAATATCATCAACAAAATCATACACTAAGTTACATCCTCCTGCAAATGTCTAGTTAGAACATTCATGTCTAAAGAAAAAGGTACGATCTTAAAGCTTATCCTTGATATAATCCAATTGAAATAAGAAAATAATAGGTCAATCTACCTTATGTTTGAACCCATGTAATAGCTCTTACATACATACCTTTAATTATATGAAGATAAGCATTATTAAATCTTTTAATTTTTAGAACTCTCCAGAGCACATCTCTTGAAACTTTATCATATACTTTCTCTAAATCAATAGATATCATATGTAGATCCTCATTTTTTTCTTTATACTTCTCCATCAAACCTATCAATAAACCTTTATATTAAATATATATAATTATGGCCACAAAATCACATATAAGAAATGCTATGTAATATTCACGCATTATTATAATTTGAACACATTTGAAGAATTAGATATATATTACCTAGCATTTAGAAGGAATTACATGCTAATATGACGTAATATTCATGCTATGTAATATCTAATTGAACAAAAACCGAACGTAAAGAAAACATTTTTATAATTTGAACACAATAACAGTTTTAATGAAATAAAAACATTTCAACCACAAATCTAAAATTGTAAAAAATAAAAATGATGAAAAATAAAAAGAACAGATAAATTTATACTGGTTCGATCTAACTAGACCTACGTTCACTCCCTGAACAGTCTCTTCAGGTATTATACTATTACCAAAGTCACTCTTCTTTTACTTTCAAAACAAGGCGGAGAAGCCTTTATAATTACCCTCTCTTCCACCAATTCCTAGGGCGGGAGAGTACGGTTGACCTTCCACACCTTCCAAGTGTCGACAAAGTATCATCATCCTTTCACACATCCCAAGTATTGGCAGAGTACCGTCGTCCTTTCACACCCTCTTGGTGTCGACAGAGAACCAGATCTTCTCTAAAGATCTTCTCACGAGCAACTCTAAAGACGTAAGGAAGAGAATTGATAAGCCTCATAAAGAGATCCTCACCTTTGGGCAACCTTATGAACCCTTCACTATTTCCACTTAAAAGAACTCTCTCCACACTCTCAAACATTCTCTATAAACTCTCTTTCACTTTCTCTCAAACAAAATACAAAGAAGCATTCGTCCCATTCATTTTTTATGGACCTTACATATAAAAAAACATAAAATCCCATCCTAAAAACTTAAATTGCAAGTTTGATCATCCATTATCATACAGTACGATCGATGATCATACATAAAAATAGTTCAAAGTTTGCTCGTACGATCCTATATGAAATATTTTCATACATATATATCATACAATACGAACCATATATCATCCAGTACAATTAGTTTTAATCAAACCTTGTTTTGTTTGGTACGAAAATAGCCTTAACTATTTCATACTCTGGAAGTCATCTGTATGATCCTATGATTTTATAGTATGAATAATTCACAAAATCTACATGTTCGTCGGGATGAAAAGGTACATATTTATTTCATACTTTGTACGTCATCTATACGATCCTATAATCATATAATATAAATAGTTCAAAAAATCTACATGTTCGTCGGGATGAAAAGGTACACATCCATTTTATACTCTAGACATCTTCTATATGATCATACGATCGTACAGTACGAATAGTTCAAAAAATCTACATGTTCATTTGGATGAAAAGATGCACATCCATTTTGTACTATAGATGTGGTCTGTATAATCCTTTGATCGTACAGTACGAATAGTTCAAAAAAATGGATGTTTGTCGAGACAAACTTGTATGTATCTATTTAGTACTATATATGTTGTATGTATGAAGGTAACTTCGTACAATACAAACATGGCTTAGAAAAATTTCTTGGACATGGTTTGATTAACTGCTTCTAAAGGAACAATCTGAACAAATCGTCA